CTGACACTTCTCTCAGCTCCTTGGGTTCCAAATAGGGTCTCCCAAGGAGCGCCATTCTGCTACGTGCAAATCCCTTATATGACCTTACTAAGGCTTTTGACTGTATGAACCACAACATTTTATGCTTAACCATGCATGAATCACGGAGTCCCACAAGGATCTGTCCTTGGCCCTGTACTGTTTCTTATTTATATAAACGATCTACCAAATAGTGATAGCATTTCCAAATTTATCCTCTTTGCGGATGATACTACGATCCTAAACAGTGCAGGTCAAGCCAGTGATCCTTCGTAACAATTTTCAAACAACACAGGATAACGTTAAGCAGTGGTTTTTGGCAAATAAGATGTTTCTCAATCAAGACAAAACTAAGTCTATTTTGTTTACTTTGCGTTATGTGCATGATGAGTTCACCAATTGCGCCTCACAAGTGAAATTTCTCGGAGTGAACATTGATTGCCAAATGTCTTGGAAGCAGCATGTTGATGAGTTATCTAAAATACTATCCAAAAAGATGCTCCTGATCAGAAGCCTTGTTAATTCTGTTTCGATAAAAACATTGCTGTCAGCTATTATGGTTTTCTTCACTCACATCTGTGCTATGCCATTTTGAACTGGGGTCATTCTTGTCGTGGTGACGAAATTTTTAAATTACAACGCAAATGTATTCGCATTATTGCAGAGTTACCTTATAGAGCGGATTGTAAGCGACAATTTAAAAAATATGGTATACTTACACTACCAGGACCAGGTGTTTACATCTTGGAATGTCTCTTGTACATTAAAGAGAATATCCATATATTTCATCAACATTGTATGAACCATGATTATCTTACTAGAAACAGGTACAATATAAACCCTGTTCCTCTTAGACTATAGTAGGATCGTATTCGATGCAAAGTAGAGCAAAAAGTTGTCGGTCTTTTATCAAAGGAAAATCGTGTCATCATTTTTAGGAGGCGTAAGATAAATCATTTCAAATTTAAAATGAAATTCAATGTAAAATCTGAAATACCGCTGCATACGCACTGTGTTCTGGTAGTAGCTGTAGTCGCCCAGGTGCATCGAGTGTACGAACTGGTCGGTTATACGTCAAATACTAACCTGGCGAGCTTTGCCGTCAATTAGAGAGCGCTTCCAAAAAACAAGTAAACAACAGTGGCGCGTACAGAGGTAAAATGTAGTACATATGTGGAATTTAGGAAACAAATTGGATTTATAATAAATTACATTTAAAATAAATAGTTTATGAGAATAAAGGAATTTTTGTAGCAACAAGGGTGCCAGACCTGAGCTGATCCCCTCGTCCCTTCATAATGTATAAAGAAATTATTCAATTTGTGAAGCCCTTAAAGGCGTACTTCATTGGTTCCCTTGACAGGCAATGATTTATTACTTTGCATCGAATATGATCCTACTATAATTGTAAGTAGAACTAGAGTCAATTCTAATTACTATTGCTTGCGCTTTTTTAATATACTACCTGAAGCAATTAGGTCCTTGTGTAATACTCACTATAAAATGAGAATAAGGAACTTTCTTAAAATGAAAGCTTTTTACTCACTCGATGATTATTTTAATGATGATTTTGTTGCTCTTTTAGTCCCCTAGAAATACCATGTAATGTGTGTGATGTGTGATATATTTCATTACGCATTTTGTAATAGTGCCTCTTTTTGTATTTATAGTATTTATTTTTGGTATCTTTTTTAAATTATTTATTTACATATCTGTGCGTCAGATTTGACTACTGATCCTTTTGGTGTCATATTTCTTTTGTGACTTGTGTAAACATTTGTCTTATGTTCTAACATCAATAAATTATTATTATTAATAGAGAGGATAATAATAATAATTATTATTTAGGAAAAATGACAGAGACAAAAGTTTTAATCAATTGACTGTTGCATTTCGAAGATACGCCCTGTATATTTGCAAGATTTTCTATTTTTTCCTCTTTTTTGTGATTACAATGATACGTAAACGTAAGTCAATTGTTTTTTAAACGATTTTTTTATGACATTGCTACAACTTTTGTCTTTTACAATATTTTAGTAGTGAAAACGGTAAAAAAGTGAGTGTAATATGATTTACCCTGTAAATTTTTTTATTTTAGAGTAAATGGGTATGTGGCAGCCCGGAGTGAACAGTCCTTTAGCCGCCGAAACGGCGGCGGTTCCCGACATTTTTAAACAATAAATTGGCCGGATGGCCATAATCCATTTACGGGCGGCGCTTACGTAAAAATTGGTCGATTCCGAACAATATAGTGCGTTTCAATTAATACGCGTTTGATATTCATTAAAGGGGAATTTAAAACCCGGCAACGGCCGGTCGGACAATGTGTTCCGGCTTTATGGAAACAAATGAATACGGCTGTTATTTTGTTTTCGCGCACAATACCCAACGTCGGGATTATAATTAAAACACCTACGCTACACTGGGAAAAATGTCGAATTCCAATCGATACTTATCGAATGGTATTATCTGCGGCGTTTTAAATATAAGTCCAATTAATCCCGCTTCTGGAAAATGAAATAAATCGTATTGCACAAAATCAATATAGTTTTCTAGTTTACCCTCGTATTGCAATTTATTTTTTTTTGGCTCTTTTTGTGTTGTTTTATATTAATGTACAAGGGGTTAACAAAATAAGTACTCGAAATTGGAGAATATGTAAAACATGTCAAAATATGATGAAAACCTTAGTAGAGCTTTTGTCAGTGGCGGCCCCTAAGGGAGATACAGCCCCTTGAAGGGGTAAACTCAGGAAACAGTTTTTATTGCATAAGTTCAAAACGGTTTAATATTAAATCACGAAATTTTGGGGTTGTATTAGTATTTATATGCTTAATGATCGGCATAATATACATATCAAAATTTGCTACAGGGGCGTAAGAAAATGCGGGACCATGGGGCAAATTTTACAATGTTTTTTTGTACGCAATTTTGCCACTTCCTGAACCGAAATTATGAAAATTTATCATATTTTGCATGAAAAAGGTACTCTTGTTAGATTGTAGTAGCATGAGCCGTTTTCTAGCAAAATCCATTTTAATAATTCATTACGTGCTAAAAAATTCCTGCTGAAAATAAATGTATCAAATTGTGTCACGAGAAAATTACTATTTATGACACTTAACAAAGGTGTCAAATATATGTCAATTACTGATTATATTACCTAGATTTATGCTTCACGGGTCTTTCTTTTGGTATATTTTATTATTCAAAATAATTTATGTTACAAGTACAAAACTATCTACTTAACTGTGATATTAAACCCTGATTTACAAAACAACCACAATAACGATAATATTAGTACAAAACGAAAATTAAATAAAAACAGTAGTTTTCTCATGGCACAATTTAATACATTTCATTTATTTAGTAGTAGGAATTTTTGAGCAAGTAATGAATTATTGAAATATGTAGATTTTACTACAAAATGGCTTATGCTATTAAAATCTAACAAGAGTATCAAAATATGATAAATTTTCATATTTTCGGTTCAGGTAGAGAAAATTCGTACAAAAAAAATTGTATAGTCCGGCATTTTCTTAGGCCCCTGTAGCAAAATTTGATTTGTATATTATACCGTTTATTAAGCATATAAATAGTAATACAACCCCAAAATTTGGTGATTTAATATTAAACCGTTTTGAAGTTATGAAATAAAAACTGTTTCCTGAGTTACCCCTTCAATGGGCTGTATCTCCCTTAGGGGCTGATACTGACAAAAACTCCACTAAGGTTTTCATCATATTTCGACATGTTTTACATACTCTTCAATTTTGAGTACTTATTTCGTTAACACCTTGTATAGATCTTACTTCCTTTAATTTTTCTTTATTTACCGAATTCATTGTATACAATTTAAACATTGTTTTTTTTCTAATCAACAGAATTTTTTACAATGCAAGATTTAACTATGTTATTAAAATCTTTTAAAACGAGTGACCGCAAAAATCGCCCGTTTTTCACAATTCGCAGAGAACTAAAGAAAATAGATAAAAATATGTTTTTGGTCTAAAATTACTCGTCGTTAAAAATTAAGATGAGCATAGCTTTTAGTTTTCTGAAAATTTTCAAAAATCACCCCTATTTAGGGGTTGAAAAGACGCCCAAAATGCAGAATTGAATATTACCAATAAATATAAAAACTATTAGTATGTGAATTTTTCTATCGAATGATTCTTGATACGAAGAAAGATTTATTCTCATGACTGAAATAAGCGTGCTGAATTAGAAAATTCACCCTTAAGCGCGCTCAGGGGGTGGAATCATCCCCAAAAATAGAGAACATTAGAAATAATTGTAAAAATTCCAAAAAAAAATATATTAAGATAATTCACATGCTAATAGTTTTTATATCAATTGGTAATATTCAAATTCTTCAATTTTGGCATTTTTTCAACCCCTAAGCAGGGGTGATTTTTAAAATTTTCAAAATATTAAAAGCTATGCTCATTTCAGTTTTTTACGACAATTAATTTGCGACCAAAAATATATTTTTATGTATTTTTTTAAATTATCTGCGAATTGTGAAAAAACGGGCCAAAATCACAGGTTTTTTGCGGTCACTCTTTCACGTCATAAGTTGCCATACATCGCGTATACAGTAAACAGGTGTCGCAGATGTTCTATTTTGGGTTAAGAAAAGTTAAATCATTGATTCGTGGCCTTTGTACAATTTTTTTTCTGAGTGTAGGCATGTCATCTATTTCGGAGGCAGGGGAGCATAATCCATTACGCGTAATCGTTGTGCACACATTTCCAAATTAAAATTTATAGTGAATTCTTTCCCCTGCATATATGACGCCAAAGCCCCGCCATTTGGCCGATTTTAATGAAACGCACTCGTAAATTATTAAATCCCAGCGAATATAACAATTTTAACTCAATATTTCACTCGACATACACTGCTGAATTATTAATTCGTGTCACTTGTCAAATAAATACAGCGTGTTTCATTATCCCGGTATTAAAAAAAAGTTACTTACCATCACGTAATGCCTTTGGATCTCTATTTTCTCACTCGCCAGTTTCTCGCATTCTAGCTTCAAACTGAAACAGAAAAAAAAACAAAGATCATGTTACAGTTAAATTGTGTTGTAAAAGAATTTAATAATTTCGTCAAAATAAAAGCAGATAATGTTCAATATTGATCCATTCTCGTACACAAAGACAACTTTTTCTATTAACTGAGCGTTTGAGATTAAATTAAGTCTTCTCAGTTGCAGCCACCAATTTATTTTTTGTTAGGCACGGCCTTTTTCGACAAGTTAAGATATTTTGTAATTACACCATAATCCGATAAATTTTGGCGTAAAAACCCCAGGAGTAAATGAACTTGACCAACCTGAATTGTTGTCTCCGGTGAGTAAGTCTCTAAATATTATTGTTTCTTTCGTTATTCCAGTAGAGGAAGCAGTGGCGTAACAACAGTTTTTGGAATAGGAATCTGAATATTATGACTCTTTTTCTATAAAAAATTCTACATCTAAGGCAAATAAAAAAATTAGTACAATTTTCAGGGCTTGCAATATTTAACAAAAGAAAAACTTGCTCTAAAATCTCTCTAAACTCTAAAATTAAAAGGTAAAGTAAAATGTGCTGCATTTGTTTTTGTATTAGGAATGTTTATTATCATTTTTATTAATTCGGCGCGGCAACATGCACCGCCCAAGCCAATTACTAGTATAGTCTTTCAGATCTCAATTGAAGAACCAAGAAGTTGGCAGTATGTACCAGGTTCGGTCGTTGATGCAGCAACTCGGCATTGAAATATTTGAAAAACTTGTTCCCAAATTTATTTAGCCGTACCCATATACAGATCTGGTCGCCCAGTTGAAGAATGAACGCGCGGGCAAACGCGGCACAAACACAGCCGAACTGGGCGACCTGGCCTCAAATTCACTTGTCGACAAATGGCCTAGCAGTGCAGTGCAGCAATGCGGAATTTGGTGCGATTCAGGTAATTTTAATTTATTATAGGCACCTTCTATTAATCATTCATATTACTATTGCGAAAGGCAGAAATAAGAGGGATGTATGTATGTATGTCGGAGGGTTGTGGCGCGGCACTTAGGCTTTAATAGGCCCGTTGTACACCCTCCTTCATTACTCGAGTACTTTTCTTCAAACCATCCTATTTACTACACGGGTGGCTTGGTGGCAAAGTCTTGTACAGTTTATGTATGATAGCATGGTCTTGAGTTACAGAAATTTTCTTTGCTCTGTTCTCATTACCATTTATCGGGAACCACACGCATGCGGAAAATGTTGCCTGCCTTAGGTCTCCCATCCAAATTCCAGCCTGCGTCCGTGATGCTTACCTCGGCAGATAGAAATCCACCGGCCAAGACACCCAACTAGGCCGTCCAAATAAATAAGAGGGATATTTTGTTTATTAATATTATTACAACATGGCATATTGGAGACCTTTTGAAGCGCAGCAAAACGAAATCAATATAATAAAATAATTGTTTGAGGACATAATTAAAGAAATAATTACAATATATTGGTCTAATGAACGTATAATAGAAATTTTCTACCCATTATATAGAAATTATTATAATTTTTTACCTTTAGCAGAAAACTTTTTAAGGCCGCCTACGAAACTCATTAAATTTTATTGCTAGGCGTTTTTACACATGTTCAACTGACTTCAGAAAGACTTACACCAAAACGATAGTTGTTACGATCCTTATAACATAAATAGCTACTTACAATAGCTTTAATCAATATTTGTCCAAATATAAAATAAAATTGTCCACACTCATGAAATTTTCAAACAAAACTTTGTAAAAGTTGTTGAAAACAAGCAAGTTATGATAAAATAGACTTTTACGACCGACAATTTGAACATTTCATTAAAATAATTTTGTCAACTCTTGACTTTTTATTTTACAATATCTCTAGCAATTTTTTGCTTTTATTTCAAGTATCATCAGTCCCCGAAATTTGTTGCACTGTGTTTTAAACAAAGTTTTGTTAGTTTAGAAGACTTTTTGCACTGAAGTAATGAGACTACTTTTTTATTTAATCACCAAAGATTGGACAGGGGCTCTTTAAGTGTTTATTTTCGATGATAAGGCGATTTTTTCCGCAATTTCTACGGGTGCTCGCATAACCATTAAGGAAAAAACGCGTCCACAACATATGCGAACTACTGGCCTATTACCGCTGCAAAAAAAAATGCCGCGGACCATCGATCTGCCAGCCGACGTCTGCTAATAGCGCAATGCGCCGTAAAAAACGCGGTAATTTATTTTCCAATTACATGTTACATTAACTATATACGGGACATAAATAATGAAAAAATGGCACGGCCATTATCGACCCGGATTCATAATTTATGAGCTCTGTGTTTTTCTAAATAATTTACGACGTCCCGGCTACAAAAAAAAAGGGGGGCATATTAAAAATATATAATATTACTAATCACATAATGGCCTGCCATTAGCATACATTACACAAGTGGCAGCGGAAATAATGGGTTGTTAAAATAATGACCCGAGAAGCCAGAGCGACGTCAGTGTACCGCCTCTGACGGTCTACCGCCGTTAAATTATGGATATCATTGTCTGTTTCTGCGTTAAAAACTATCTGTCGAAAAAATATCCGATTAGTTGCGTTCTGTAAGGGTACGTGCACACTATTAGGCGATCTGCACGTTCCTTTAGCTAATAATAAAACTAAGTTGTCAGTGCCAACAACGGCCAATAATAGTCGTGACTATGGCTTAAAGTAACTTCCCAATACGGAGAGGAAGATAATATGTTTAGTACGCGCCTAAAGTATGGAATAAATTCAGTAAAAACGAAACAAATTTTTTTGGGAAAAATCCTCGAACAGGTCGATTTTTAATTTAAAAAATATATATTTTAGCATAAAAGACGATTTTCAACCGTCATTTGTTTTCGAGTAATGACGTCATCGACATTTTTTTTAAATAGCGACACCCTATTTTTTTTCTTGATTGTGAAAGATCGTTTTCTTGTCGATCCGATAGTATTAAAATGTTGCCATGTTACATAGGAAAGTTTACGAGTAAATGACGATTGAATGTTAGAAAACGTACATTTTATTCATTAAAAAAATAACAATTCCTATGTCAAGCAAATACAATTCATTAAGTTTTCTACATAAATTAAGTGTTCGAATTGCCACCCACCGACTGCTTGACAATACGCAAGTCTGTGTAGAAATCCTTCTTGTACATTATGAATTATTTCTGGGGTAACTCTGCGTATTTCATTTATAATACAATTTTGGAGTTCTTCTAAATTATGTGGTCTATTAACGTACACTTTGGACTTTAAATAGCCCCATAAGAAACAGTACAGGGGTGCAAGATCTGGAGATCTCGCGGACCATTCTATCGGTTCTCGTGTGCCGATCCACCTCCTAGGAAAACAATTGTCCAGAAAATCTCGAACAGGGCGCACATAGTGCGGAGATGCACCGTCTTGCTGAAACCATATGGCGTCATCAGGAATATTAGGATAATTATCGTTAAGAAAAATTACTGCAAGCGCTGGAACAAGATCATCTTTCTCCTTGTAAGGGTTCCTTCAGAGGAACTTACTATTCTGTTGCCGACTATTCCAGCCCCCACACATTTAATTTCTGTGGGTGTTGGATATGTGTCTCTGCCATCCAATGAGGATTTTCCCGACTCCAATACCTGCAAGTTTGGCGGTTCACTGTACCATTGAGACAAAACGTGGCATCGCCTGAAAAAAGTATTTGCCGGTGTAAATCTCTATTTACTTGACATAAATCCATCATAATTTCACAAAAGTGTAAGCGGCGGTTGGGACCGTCTTCATTGATTCCCTACACAAGTTGAATTTTGTAGGGATGGTATTTTTCCTGCCTCAGGATACGTAGCACTGTGGTCTGACTAATTTCATTGTTTAATGCTACCATACTTATCAAAATGTTCTGTTTGTGATCTTCACTAACGCTTGGACGTCCAGGTTTTGGAATATCTACAACATTGCCAGTTTCTCTAAATTTAGATTCTATCTTACTGACTGTTGATTGGCTAATACGGCGATCTGGATATTTTTCATTAAATAAATCGCAAACTTCCTGCTGCGTTCTAGTCTCATCCCCGTATCCCATAAGAATTAAAATTTCAATTCTTTGTGTGACAGTTAAATGTGCCATATTACTTTAAATTCAACAATAATTTTTGTATCGCTTACAATACTTAGAAAGTCGGTATGACAGCGACACTTTGTAAAGATTTACACCTACGTGATCAATAAAAAACTTCAGGCATTTCGAAAAACTAAATTTGATAACGTTTTTGTTTTATTTTAATTGATTTGGGTTTTCTAACATTCAATCGTCATTTACTCGAAAACTTTCCTATGTAAGATGGCAACATTTTAATACTGTCGGATCGACAATGAAACGATCTTTCAGAATCAAGAAAAAAAATAGAGGGTTGCTATTTAAAAAATGTGGATGACGTCATTACTCGAAAACAAATGACGGTTGAAAATCGCCTTTTATGCTAAAATATGTATTTATTCCACACTTTAGGCGCGTACTGTATGTATGTCCTCTCAAATATCTCAAAATGACTGTAATTGTGTTGCAGTCTTCTTCTATTATCGTAGTACCTGCCAGTCCACAAGCAGTTTTGCTTACACCGAATTTTTAAGATAACCTTTAGTTCAGCATATTCAGGTCTGGCGATCTAGCTGGCCGTTGAACCGGTCCACCACGTCCAATCCATCTTTGTTCGTAAGTTACATTTAGGTTCTCCCAAACAGGATTGAGGAAGATCTAATACAAAATGTTAATCTGGCATTACAGTCTTATTGTTAGTGTTTGGACTGTAGGGGTGTAGTAGCTGTTTCCTAGGTGTTCTCTAAACAAGAGGGTGGTTAATAGCTATATCGGCTGCAATTCCCGTAACGCTAGTTCTAGAGTTTACTTCCAAAATTTGTGCATCATCCTCGGGCGTGGTAACAGATCTAGATCTTTCAAAGTCGATATGGTTTTTGCTTTATCAAAATTTTTACTGTCTCGGAGTTGTTCATGAA